GTCCCAAGGCTTCTGCAACTGTTAGGGCTCGTTGGATGCTGATGCATCATCAATGGTTCTCGCACAGATAGCTTCTTTCATTTTGAGTTCATGCATTCTTGCCAAAGAGATTTGCAAGTCACTAGCCTTGTGAAAACTTTCACCTAATCTCACGTTAAAATGTGAATTTGCACCACTGCATCATGATATCATCCATGAATAGGAGTGCAACACAACTCCATGCACAATGGCTCCCTCTACACTTACACTCATAAATCCTAATTCTTTCTTTTCATCAGCACTGTAGTGCACTGAAGCATTTTAGAGTTTGCTTAGAGTTGCAATTTTTTTTCAATTTTTCAAACATCAATTTTTACTAGATTGAGTTTATTAAACTCAACACAAGTTAACAATTTGATCTATATAGTTTTAAGCTGTTGTGGTGGAAGAATCTCCTCACACTGAACAAATTAACACCATTTCTGCTAGAAGTTCTTTTCCTGTGGAAGACATGACAGCCATCTTCCATCGTATGCTTGGATCCATTATGCAGTCGCGGCTCTTCTTTCATGCCTTTCACTCTCTTCCATTTCATGTTTTTGTATCTGAAATGGATGAAGATGAATTTGAGCACCAATTTCCACCTCCAGGTTTGCATTGTGAACTATGCTACCTACTGAATGACACTCTCTGACTTTCTTCACCTTATTTATCAGCTATGCATAATTATTTCCCTCAATCCATTGTCTTTTGACTTTTCCAGTATGGTTTTTACATAAGCCTTTCCTCGCAATTTCTATTTATTTCTTCCCTCACTTGTTATATTGTTACGTGCTCCTTTTTTTTGTGGCTCACCCTCTATCTTGCAGTTTTATTCCTCATACTCTCTGCCTTCTGTTTCCTTTGTTCTCCCCTTTTAGTAATTCACTTTTCCCTTTCCTGGACTTGCAATTTTCAGTCACTTTTGGATCAGATTCATTGCCTGCAATTTTCATATCTAGAGCTCACTTTTCCCATCTTTTTTTTTCTTTCTTACTATCCTTCCTTGGTATGCCTCCTCCCCTCACCTTATTTTAGTAGCCTTTCTCTGTTCTTCTTCTGACCTTTGTCAGGAATCTAGATCTCTCCCATTTTTGCTTTCTCTACCATTTTCCTTCTCTGTTTCCTCTGTTGGAACCTTTTTTGGAAGGGTATCTTCCTATTGCTAGACTGTCTCCTTCTTTGTTTCTCCAGGACCTTCATTTTCCCCTTTTCGTCATCCAGGGGATTTTGGTAGTGCCCTTGGTTCACTGGTGTCATGGACATTAGCTGCCAAACAACAATCTTCTCTCACATCTTTGATTTTAGTGATGTTGGAATTATGGGAAAATTAACCCATCATGAGGGTTCATAGACCTCCTTTGGGTTTTCACTCCTACTTTATTGTTCTACCCATAGAGATCAAGAACTAATGTTCAATTATCGAACTCTCTTCCCTATATCATTTCTTAGTTGTCACACAGCATCAGATGGTAAATTTCTTTCTCTATTGGTTATTTTAATCCAGCCTATGGATGACCAAGGTTTGTGTTTTGGATGCCTTTTACCATATCCTAATCACCTTGACCTCATTATTTTTTCTACTATTCATCCACCTGGATCACATTTCTAGTTCTGTGCTTTTCTGTTTGGTATAGTGTACATCCCACTGCATTTTCATTTGCATTATGCAGGCCTTCCCTTTTTCATGTTCTGTGTTGACAACAGACTTCTTTTCTGTTCCCATGCATAATCCTCACAACTTCTCTTCCTTTTTATGACTGATCATTTGGAGTGGCTCATCAATTTTCCTAATCCTTCCTCACACTGACCATAGTTCTCATTCACCTGGTCATTCCCTTTGACTTGTCTTGGTTGTGCCCAAACTTTTCCTATTCGCCTATTAGACCTTCAAGGTCTGGTCACCAAGTTTTGCACATCACATTTACTTTCTTCTTTGAGGACCATGGATTCTCTGGAAACTCTTCTTCCACATATGTATACCCTACAATGTATTTTGCGTGACCAATGAAACATTTTCAAGGATCTACCAACCTCGCAAATCCACTGCCCTTCTTCTCTTTTGTAGGATCCAGCTTGATGACTAGACCTCTCTATCACCATCTCTGGTGTTCACTTACCTCATCCCAATCCTGACATTCACCTATTTATGGACACCTCTCTCTCAGGATGAGGAGATAGTCTGGTTCCTTGAGGATTGTTTTCTACTTGTCACTCCTTCAACTTGCCTATTGTCCATAATGCATCTCCACAGTTCTTTCACCTCCTTATGGATTGATTAGTTCTGATCCATTTAGTCAGATCCACTGTCTTGTATCATGTCATCTGCCATGTAGACACTTACTTCAGGCTCCCTGCTTCTCTACTTTGGTCCTTCTCCTTTGTGCCCATTCCACTTGGGTGAGTTTTGTAACTAGTCTTGTTCCAGGTTCACTGAACATTGTTGCAAGCTGTATTTCTTGAGGAGGCCCTGTCCGACACATAGTGGTACCTCCCATTTCCTCAGTTAATCTGCTCTCAAGTTATTAATCCCCAATATATGCCTTTGCCACACCCTTTAAAACCAGTATTCCTCTATTTGGTCTTCTGTATCTCATCCATCAGCTCTGTCTGTCTATGCCCTCAGTCAGATCTTGTCATCTTTTTCTGCAGGCCTGTTCTCCCCTCCACCTCTTTTCTTGGATTCTTACTCTTATTTAGAACACCCTTTACAATCCATCTTCTCTCATTCAAGCCCTCACTTCCATCCATACCTTCCTTTGTGATCCAACCTCATATGTCATTCTTTCATCAGGGAGCAATAACCCTCCATGTTTACATGTACAGTTTGTCTTGTCCATCATTCTTTAAGCTGCATCATCCTACCATGTACATTCCCATTGTCCCACTCTTGTCACCCTTCATCCTCTTCCATGTACCACAATACCTGTTGTACTTATTTCCATAGGCCTTCTCTTCACCATTTTCCCTCAGAACTCCCTATTTCACAACATATTCCCTTCTCTTTCACACATGTTCTACTGTCAGTCTCTTCCATTATGGGTGGGTATTGGGCAGCATTTCTACCTTCCCAGTACCACAGGATAATTTCTTCGCTGTTTTTTCTATCGTCTTATCCATGTACCCCCACCATCCACCACTGTTCCTGACTGAAATCTCACTCTTAGTTTTCTGTGCTCTTACTAGGGCCCTCTCGAACCTCTGACAACTTGTTTGATGTATCATCTCTCCCTGGATACATGTCCTCCTCCTTTTTGCCTGTGGTATCTTTTGTTCAGATATCTATGCCATGGTTTTCTCTCAACTTCTCTTAAACTGTCCTACCTTCTTCTTTATCATGGTTGGTCCTTCCTTTTCTAGTCTTCTGTAGCATGGTTTGATGATCACAACTTTTTGCCATAACTTTTCTTACTGTATCACTTCTCTATGCTCATTTGGTACCAGACAGACTCCTGTGTACTGTCCAGGCCATTTGTTGTATGTCACACTCTACCTCTTTTAGGGGTTCCAATCACCATCTTTTTCATTCCTTGGGTCCCATCCTATACCTAGGTTCTCTCTCCTTCCACTCTTCAGGATGGAACTGACTGGTCATCCATCTAGTCTATGCCTCTTTGGGGTGGATGAATGTAAGCTGTTTAGTGTGTCTTCTCATCAGATTCATCACCTCCCATATTATCTAGCTACTCCTTGTCAGTGACGTTTGATTCTCTTTTCCAGGCTAGCATATGGACTACCACTTGCCTCTTTGTTGCCAACTGTTTGCTCCACCTTGTTGTTGTACCTCTTTAGGGATTTAGACTTCTTCCTATGGCTATTCTCTGTCTATGGGCAGGTGAGCACACAAGGTCTGAATGAATCCCAACCTCAGTACACACATTGGCTGTCTGACATCTCATGTGCAAGTTTTCTAATGGCCATATCTCTGTTCCACTAATTCTTGCAACTTCGTTATCGCTTTATTGCCTCTTCTGTTCTTCTACACACATGAAGAGTATATACTAAATGAGACTAGATGTGGTATTCCACAGGTATGCCTCTATGGAGCCCCTAACATGGGCTTCCTTTGGATGCTTTCTGAAGAGAGCTCATCTAGGTCATCTTTACACCAGTCTCTCCACCATCTCAACATGGAATTCTTGCTACCTGTGTGAAGAAGTGGGGTATTGTTTCATGAGTTAACATTTTCCGTACCTGAAAGTGTATTTCTGATAGATATTTGCCTCTTCACACATTAACATCCATCCTCCGAACTTTTCCATTTTCCATGGTGAACATTTATTCATTATCTCATCAAAGAATGAGAATTGATGAGTGTGAACGTAGAGGGAGCCATTGTGCATGGAGGTGTGTTGCACTCCTATTGGTGGAGGGTTGTGTTGCATGATGACATCATCATCCAGTGGCACAAGTTCATGTTTTCATGTGAGATTAGATGGAAATTTTCACAAGTCTGGTGGCTTGTACAAACTCAAGAGGAAGGAAGCTATCTGTGTGGGAGGCGAGTATCTATTGAAAATATTCAGGTAAGGAAAATGTTAACTCATGAAACAGATTTACCTGGCATCAACCATCTGCTCTTTATTTATCTAATTTAGCAGCGAAAGTCAAAAGGAAAAACATCTATTCAATACCACCCACCATCAGCTCTTGGCTACTCTTTTACCAAAGAAGAGTGGGATTGA